GAAAGGCTCTCTGAGCTAACTCACTTTGCACCTGTAAATGATGAAACTGTCCAAGAGATAATCTCCAGTTTGAGCTCCTCCACATGCAGCTTGGATGTACTACCCACTAGATTTCTAAAGTCTGTTCTGAGCAGTCTGTTACATTCACTCACACAGATAGTAAACATGTCCCTTCATTCTGGAATATTCCCAAAGGCCCTGAAAACTGCAGTCATCAGGCCCCTGCTAAAAAAGAGCAGTCTCGATGCTACGATACTTAACAACTATCGTCCCATCTCAAATCTGCCATTTATGGGGAAAGTCCTTGAGAAAGTTGTCTACCTACAGCTTACTAGATTTCTTATAATCAACAACTCATTTGATATGTTTCAGTCCGGCTTTAGACCCCACCACAGCACTGAGACTGCTCTCGTTAAGGTTACAAACGATATCCGGCTGAACACTGACGCAGGCAAAGTCTCAATCTTAATCTTGTTAGATCTAAGTGCTGCCTTTGACACCGTCGACCATGAGATCCTTTTACAGAGACTAGAGGACTGGGTTGGAGTCGCTGGCACCGCCCTAAGTTGGTTTAGGTCTTACCTTGAAGACAGGAAGTACTTTGTGGAGATTGGAAACTGTGTCTCAGATCATATGAGTCTCAGATCATATGAGTCCTGACTAGAACCAGGAAGTACGACCACATTAGTCCAGTTCTCAGGTCTCTGCACTGGCTTCCTGTGGCTCAGAGAATAGACTTTAAAACAGCTCTGCTTGTGTACAAGTCTCTCCATAGCCTCGCACCAAAATATATTAGTGACATGTTAGTCCCATATGAACCAGCCCTGACTCTGAGGAGCACAGGGACTGGACTCCTGTTAGTGCCCAGAGTCAGAACTAAACATGGGGAGGCTGCTTTTCAGATTCATGCTGCTAAAATCTGGAACAGTCTTCCTGAAGATGTGAGACAGGCCTCCTCTCTGACAATGTTTAAAACCAGGTTAAAGACAGTTCTGTTTAACTGTGCATACAACTGAGGGATTTTATATTTCTATCTTTCTTTTTAATGTTCTGTGATAATTTATGATTTTAATGCTTTCTTGTTTTGTTCAGCACTTTGAATTGCCTTGTGTATGAATTGTGCTATATAAATAAACTTGCCTTGCCTTGCCTTGCCTTACTCCACCCAGAGGCTACTCCACCTCTGCTGCTGTGACTTGAAGGGCTGTAGCTGATTTGTACTATTTTTTACTTTTTAGAATTATCAATTTTATTTTTTAGTTTTGCTGCTACTGGACACCTGAATTTCTCCTTCGGGGGATTAAAAAAGTAACTATCTATCCATCTATCTATCTATCTATCTATTTGTTGTTGTTTGAAAGTTAGGTACCCAAGCTTTAATTTGCTGCATGACACTGGTAACTCAAGTCTTGGTTATATTTGTATTAAAAGTTATAAAACAAGTAAGAGCAAAATCCATATACTGTGCCTTTAATGAACCATAAACTTCCCTCACTTATGTCATGAACAAGTTCTGAACCAATATCTACCTTTATTTTGTAGGTTCGAAGCCTGGTTTCACTCGTCACCTCTGCAGTTACACATTTCTTTGTCCAGATTTGAACCCCCTGACACTTACACTCAGCACAACTCATCCTTCGTCATTTTCTTTGGCTCATTTCATTCAGCATCACTATAACTTTGGCTGTTTTTGTAACAAAACAAGGCCTAATCCTAAATTCGCAGAACCGTGAATGCGCCTCCAACAAATGGCAGACAAATGAGGAGGATTAGCAAAACCCTGTGAAAGAGTGAAAGGTTTGCCATTGATCTACGGTGGTCCGGCTCCCTTTCACCCCACTGAGTAAGAGCATACAGGCCACTCCACAGCCCCCTAGGCCACCGAGGCACACACAACAGCCACAATTAGTCTCAGGACCTGTAATGGCAATTCAATAAGCGCTTTAAAATTGTGCTTTAGTCTGTCTGCCACCCCGCCACCCCCTCCCGTCCATCCCATTTGGGTGGACATACATAAGATTGGTATTATGAGTGGCGAGGGGAGCTTTTTTCCCCCTACCCACCACAGCTCTTTTCAGTCGCTGAGAGAGAAAATGGCCACACAGGGTTTCAAAGGTTTCCGAAGCTCTAGTTTGTTGTTGCTGGAGCTGTATGACTTGTGCCCCTGTAGATTTTGCCGAAAGCTTTGCAAATTGGATGTTTTATGTTTTGGTTTTTTTGTCACTCAGCTGAGCAATGATTATGACGTTGTTATCGCTGAAGTCTGTGCTGATGCTTATCTTGATGCTATGTTTTTTATGGATGCATGATGTAACATACTCAATTATAGGAACATTTGCAGCTGTAACCATGTGCAGAAAGGTTATTGAACAGTGTTCAATAACAGTGTTACTGCACAGGTGAAGGGTCTTTTCCGTCCAAATCATAAACACATGATTATGATATGAGATGTAAATGCACACTTTTTTATCCCCGTATAGATCTTTGATTTGACCCATCCAGGAACTACTTCTTGATGCTCGGCTTGCTTATCTAGTGTGGATGTTTTTTAGTAGTAGGGGACACTTCGTCTACATTGCTGAGATGTTTCAAATGAGTGCATTTTTATTTGAACATTTCCCCCTTTTCCGGTATAAGAGTTAAGAAAAGTCTAGAACAGGCCTATTCAATTTTGCCCCGGGCGCCAAATCAGGCTCTCAGAACAGTCTAAACTGAAAAAAGGTCTTCTTTCAAGTACAGTAGCAATAGCTCAAGTGCGAATTTTCTTTTCTCATTGGCAAATATTGATTTATAGTACATTTTCAAACCATAAGTCCTGGTTTGTTCTTGCCTTGCCAAAGATTTGTGTCGGTTTGGCATTTATTTTTCCCAATATTATTATTAGTTAAGAATTAGATAGTGCTTAATGTATTTGCTGTGATGTGCTGAAGTGAAGACGTGTTGTACAATTATGCGGCTCAGTGCATATGGATATCCATTTAATTCAGTCCTCGGGGAAAAAAAAGTTTTTTTGAGAACATTTGTCCACAACCAATTTGGTGCATTCCATATTATTGGAATTTTGTTTTGTTTTTTTAATAAAAAGGCTGAAGCTTTTGATCAGGACTTCCAAAGGTCCTGGCTTGTTCGTCTGGAGAGTGCACTGACAGGACAGTGGTGGATAATTACAGCTCCCATTTAGTGTCCCAGGAACTGGCAGCAGCACCCCTCTGCACCCGCAGGCCAAAAGGAGAGTCTTGGAGGGTTTAAAAAGAAAGGATAAAATAACAGCCTTCGATGTTGACGCCATTCAATCGTCCAAACACACACACACACACACACACACTCAGAGCACAACGTAGCATTGATAATTGTTATACAAACTTGAAGTGTTGGTTTTTGGGCCTGTGTGATATAGGCCTGATCCGTGCCGGTCTGAGCTCCACCACGCGAGCTCTCTGAGGTTGTTGCCTGAATGTACATATAAACTCTCCATGAGTAAAACATATAAAAATGGTTTGGCGTCTGCTTGGATGTGTGTGTGTGTGTGTGTGTGTGTGTGTGTGTGTGTGTGTGTGTGTGTGTGTGTGTGTGTGTGTGTGTGTGTGTGTGTGTGTGTGTGTGTGTGTGTGTGTGTGTGTGTGTGTGTGTGTGTGTGTACGCGTGCGCGCGTGTGTGTGTGTGTGTGGGTGCAGTATCAATGCTAGTATTCTAATAATGAGGCTGTTTGAATCAAACATTTGATAGTAGGGGCAATAATTCACATTATGCATAGCTGTATTCTGCAATTGTTTTTATTGTCAAACACAACAAAAAACAAGACACTAAAATGGTTGAATATCAAACTGGAAACACCAAAAGAATCTTCCCTACTAAAATACTGGCAGATTATAGAATAAACCTTTTTTTCCAGGATTGTAGTACCATAAAAGTGCAAACCAATTGAACGCAACATTTTTGGTCTATGAATATAAATCATTTTACATTATTTCCAACTGCTAACCACAGTTCTTTCATACATTTAACATGAATGTACCCAATAGTCTCCCTTTTGCAGATATACTCTGTCATGAAATGGAGTTCCATTGTCAGGGGGAAATAGTATATTATGTCCTGTTAGCAACAGCCATGTCGTTACTGTCAGTCAAACTAAACCATGTACATACATTAACATGGAGATATGTGAATAATGGATTGACAGCCATGCTGAATGACTAAATATGCAGAAATATTATATGAGTATTATGAGATGTACAATGATGATTTCTACACACGTAAGACAAGACTTAACTTCTTCTTTAGTATTGTTAATGATATTGTTATTACCACTGCACTAAATGTGTTAGTGGCCCTGCTCCAGACTGCACTGGCCACAGAACAACCTCCCAACAGAACTCTCCTAAACACAACCTAAGACTGTTTACACTTTTCACAATTGATTATATATTTTTATTTATGTATCATTATATTTATTTACTTATCATTACCCCGCCAACAGGGATGTTTTAAAGGTCTTTGTGTGTTGTCTGAAGGCAGGATTGCACAAAAATGACGGATTGACTTGACATTTGGTGTGTAGATGAGATGTGATGTTGGCGGGGTATGTGCTCTCCGAGTGCACGTTTTAGTCCTTTCACTTGTTTCACTTGAACAAAGACTAGTCCAGCAGTTATCCACCTCACATAATGTTGGTCAGCTACTCTTGTTTGGAGTGTCCATGCAGGATGAAATATACAGCTTATGACCTTGCTGTTTTTCACTCATTAATTGCGAGTTGAAATATTGTTCATAACTTGTTCTTTCTCCTCTTCTGTGTCTTGTGGAAATGCATTCTCTGTAAAGCTTCAACACACACAAATGATCAGCGCAACTGTTGTCAAGCCTGAACATCGAGCTTCACTTATGTCACACTGAAAAACAATTAAAGAAAATAACTTAAGCACGTCGACTAACACAGTCAATGTTATAAAAACACGTGTACACAGGATCAGCAGTCCGTGACGCTCAGCTAAGAGGGGAGCATGGGCAGGAAGTGGGTGGACGGATGCCTCCTCCGCGCTTTGTGGCCTCTGCGGGGCTTTCCTCTTCCGTTCAACGACACGAACATTTGGCGCCCTCCGTGCTTCCAGCGCAGCGACGCATACGTGTTGTAGCCGTTCTCCTCAATGCGCTCCTTGAACTTGCAACTGGGATTGTACTTCACCTGTGCACAGGAGTGAGGGGGTTAAAGGGTCCATAAATACAGTGGTCCGTGCCCCCCTCCCCGAGCAGAGCTCAGAGGTTAATGTGGATGTAGTCAAATGCTTCCAGCTGGATTAGTTTGAAAGCGCTTTCATTCATTCTTGCTCGATATGTTTAAGGACGTGTAGACTAAACAAGCTTTTTTTTTAAATGTATTTCTTTTGTGTCACCGTAAAAGAGAACCAAGATATATCATAAATAAATGGAAATGTTCATTTGAAAAGTTGGCAAATTACTTCACATCAACGTGAAGTTCACAATTATGATTATTTGTTGGAAGAGTAAGATACTATTTTTATTTTTTTAATGTTTAATTGATTTCTCACTGAGCTGTCATTTCGTTCTGTGTGTGGGTGTGTGTGTGTGTGTGGGTGTGTGTGTGTGTGTGTGTGTGTGTGTGTGTGTGTGTGTGTGTGTGTGTGTGTGTGTGTGTGTGTGTGTGTGTGTGTGTGTGTGTGTGTGTGTGTGTGTGTATGTGTGTGTGAAGGAAGATTAGCCACTGCATCTCAGTGGCTAATGGGGATCTTAATAAACTAAACTAAACATACAAAGGTACATCAGTTATTCTCGGCTTAAATGAAGCTGTACTTGTAAAATATATAATATAATATAATATTTGTTTGGGTTCATTTTATCCCATAGTGTTCTAAGTTTCTACACTTTAGGGACACCGTACACTTTGCACATGAACTATGCCAATACATGAAATGATTAGTCCAGTCCAAGGAAAGCACACCCCCCGTGTGCTTTTAAAGAACATAATTTGACTGGATCCTCCGAAATAATTTGGAGGTTTCAAAGACAGAAACGGCTCTGTCCATGTTTGGAGTTTGTTATTGTCACATGTACACATGAGACCATCTGACTAGACCTGCGAGATTCTTTATCCATGCATTTGTCTCCAGTAGGTAGACTACTGCAATGGCTGCTCACAGGTCTGTCCAAACAGGCTGTAAAACAGCTGCAGTACATTCAAAATGCAGCAGCTCGAGTCCTGACTAGAACCAGGAAGTACGACCACATTAGTCCAGACTAGAACCAGGAAGTACGACCACATTAGTCCTGACTAGAACCAGGAAGTACGACCACATTAGTCTGACTAGAACCAGGAAGTACGACCACATTAGTCCAGTCCTCAGGTCTCTGCACTGGCTTCCTGTGGCTCAGAGAATAGACTTTTAAAACAGCTCTGTTGTTACCAGTCTCTCCATGGCCTCGCACCAAAATATATTAGTGAATGTTAGTCCCATATGAACCAGCCCCGGACTCTGAGGAGCACAGGGACAGGCCTCTGCTGGGACTCTGAGGAGCACAGGGACTGGACTCCTGCTGGGACTTTGAGGAGAACAGGGATGGACTCCTGCTGGGACTCTGAGGAGCACAGGGATGGACTCCTGCTGGGACTCTGAGGAGCACAGGGACTGGACTCCTGCTGGGACTCTGAGGAGCACAGGGACTGGACTCTGCTGGGGACTCTGAGGAGCACAGGGACTGGACTCCTGCTGGGACTCTGAGGAGCACAGGGACTGGACTCCTGTTAGTGCCCAGAGTCCAGAACTAAACATGGGGAGGCTGCTTTTCAGATTCATGCTGCTAAAATCTGGAACAGTCTTCCTGAAGATGTGAGACAGGCCTCCTCTCTGACAATGTTTAAAAACCAGGTTAAAAGACAGTTCTGTTTAGCTGTGCTACAACTGAGGGATTTTATTTTTTATCTTTCTTTTTAATGTTCTGTGATTATTTAGGATTTTAATGCTTTCTTATTTTGTTCAGCACTTTGAGTTGCCTTGTGTATGAATTGTGCTATATAAATAAACTTGCCTTGCCTTGCCTAGTGTGTGTGTGTGTGTCTGTGTGTGTGTCTGTGTGTGTCTGTGTGTGTGTGTGTCTGTGTGTGTCTGTCTGTGTGTGTGTCTGTCTGTGTGTGTTTATCTGTGTGTGGGTGTGTGTGTGTGCGTGTCTGTGTGTGTGTCTGTCTGTCTGTGTGTGTGTGTCTGTGTCTGTCTGTGTGTGTGAGTGTCTGTGTGTGTGTGTGTCTGTCTGTGTGTGTCTCTGTGTGTGTCTGTGTGGGTCTCTGTGTGTGTGTGTGTGTGTGTGTGTGTCTGTGTGGGTCTCTGTGTGTGTGTGTGTGTGTGTGTGTGTGGTAGAGGAGCTAAAGGTGCCCTCTGCCCCAGCCCTCTGCCCCAGCCCTCTGCCCCAGCCTCTCTGCCCCAGCCCTCTGCCCCCAGCCCCTCTGCCCCAGCCCTCTGCCCCCAGCCCTCTGCCTCTGCCCAGCCCTCTGCCCCCAGCCCTCTGCCCCAGCCCTCTGCCCTCTGCCCAGCCTCTGCCCTCTGCCCCAGCCCTCTGCCCCCAGCCTCTGCCCCCAGCCCTCTGCCCCAGCCTCTGCCCCAGCCCTCTGCCTCTGCCCCAGCCTCTGCCCCCAGCCCTCTGCCCCTAGCCCTCTGCCCCCAGCCCTCTGCCCTCTGCCCAGCCCTCTGCCCCCAGCCCTCTGCCCCCAGCCCTCTGCCCCAGCCCTCTGCCCCCAGCCCTCTGCCCCAGCCCTCTGCCCCAGCCCTCTGCCCTCTGCCCAGCCCTCTGCCCTCTGCCCTCTGCCCCCAGCCCTCTGCCCCCAGCCCTCTGCCCCCAGCCCTCTGCCCCCAGCCCTCTGCCCTCTGCCCAGCCCTCTGCCCCCAGCCCTCTGCCCCAGCCCTCTGCCCTCTGCCCCAGCCCTCTGCCCCCAGCCCTCTGCCCCAGCCCTCTGCCCCCAGCCCTCTGCCCCCAGCCCTCTGCCCTCTGCCCAGCCCTCTGCCCCCAGCCCTCTGCCCCAGCCCTCTGCCCCCAGCCCTCTGCCCCCAGCCCTCTGCCCTCTGCCCCAGCCCTCTGCCCTCTGCCCCAGCCCTCTGCCCCAGCCCTCTGCCCCCAGCCCTCTGCCCCAGCCCTCTGCCCCCAGCCCTCTGCCCCCAGCCCTCTGCCTCTGCCCCAGCCCTCTGCCCTCTGCCCCAGCCCTCGGCCCAGCCCTCTGCCCCAGCCCTCTGCCCCCAGCCCTCTGCCCCAGCCCTCTGCCCCCAGCCCTCTGCCCCCAGCCCTCTGCCCTCTGCCCCAGCCTCTGCCCTCTGCCCCCAGCCCTCTGCCCTCTGCCCAGCCCTCTGCCCCCAGCCCTCTGCCCCCAGCCCTCTGCCCCAGCCCTCTGCCCTCTGCCCCCCAGCCCTCTGCCCCCAGCCCTCTGCCCTCTGCCCCAGCCCTTCTGCCCTCTGCCCCAGCCCTCTGCCCCCAGCACTCTGCCCTCTGCCCAGCCTCTGCCCCCAGCCCTCTGCCCCCAGCCCTGATCTGACTGCAGCTTTACCAACTGTATATCCTCACATTGACACTCAGCCCAGCCAGAGTCACACAGCACAGACGCAGCACAGACACAGCACAGACGCAGCACAGACGCAGCACAGGACACAGCACAGACACAGCACAGACGCAGCACAGACGCAGCACAGACGCAGCACAGACACAGCACAGACGCAGCACAGACACAGCACAGACGCAGCACAGACGCAGCACAGACGCAGCACAGACGCAGCACAGACGCAGCACTGAGCTCCGAGCCACAGACAGAAACATCCTGAGTCAGGACTTTGCATGTTATGTTCACAGACATGTGGGAGGAAGATGAGTGTAGTGTAGTACAGACAGTCACAGACAGTCCTACAGTGTAGTACAGACAGTCCTACAGTGTAGTACAGACAGTCACAGACAGTCCTACAGTGTAGTACAGACAGTCCTACAGTGTAGTACAGACAGTCACAGACAGTCCTACAGTGTAGTACAGACAGTCACAGGGACAGTCCTACAGTGTAGTACAGACAGTCACAGACTGTCCTACAGTGTAGTACAGACAGTCACAGACAGTCACAGACAGTCACAGACAGTCACAGACTGTCCTACAGTGTAGTACAGACAGTCACAGACAGTCACAGACAGTCACAGACTGTGTGTGGTTTTGAAAGATTAGTTTTAAAGTGAATAACTGGTCCTGTGTGTGTGTGTGTGTGTCTGTGTGTGTGTGTGTGTGTGTGTGTCTGTGTGTGTGTGTGTCTGTGTCTGTGTGTGTGTTTGTGTCTGTGTGTGTGTGTGTGTGTGTGTGTGTGTGTGTGTGTGTGTGTGTGTGTGTGTGTGTGTGTGTGTCTGTGTGTGTGTGTGTGTGTGTGTGTGTGTGTGTGTGTGTGTGTGTGTGTCTGTGTGTGTGTGTGTGTGTGTGTGTGTGTGTGTGTGTGTGTGTGTGTGTGTGTGTGTGTGTGTGTGTGTGTGTGTGTGTGTGTGTGTGTGTGTGTGTGTGTGTGTGTGTGTGTGTGTGTGTGTGACTTGTTTTCAACTCCTGGTGGGTTCCATAACCTGAGATTCCACTCACGTCATGGGGACTGGTTTTACGTGGTGGGGCCCGAACACCGGACCCCACTGGTCCAAGCTTAATAATCAATGGGTAATGCTTTTCTAACGGTCCTTATGCAGTCTCTGTAAAAATATGGAAAGGACCCCTGGAGGTTTACTTTCCTGAAAAAAGTGTGTTATGTGTCGGAACCCTGGTGGTGGGTTGCGGGATATCAAGGAGGGGCACACTGGGGCAATTTCAGTCCAGCAGGCTGGAGCCAATCATGGAGCAGCACAACAGAGGAACTCAGGTGTCAGGCTAGAAAAAGGTGCAAGTGTGTGGTTCATTAGGCTGCAAGAAATCATGGAGGAGCACACTGAAGCGCACGCTTACAAACCACTGGTAAGTGCTGACTACAAGTCATGACTTCAAATTGTTATATAGAATGATTACAAATTATTTGTTGTTTGTGCAGCTTAGTCAAGAGTCCCTAATTGATGAAGTCGACTCAGATTCTGACGATTTAACTGTCAAGAAGAAACCTGTAAAAAAGTATGGAAAAAGAAAAATCAAAAACACTTTTCTTCAAGACTCGGAAAGTGACGAACCAAAGGCAAATAAGATTGTTATCATGCAGCTGCAAAAGAAGAAAAATGGGGGGCGAGTATACAGCAAGAGACACTTCTGCCTCTACTGTTCAATGTCCTGCCACAAAATGTCCCGTCATTTGACTAGAAAACATGGAAATGAAAGTGACGTAGCCAGAGCATTGGCTCTACCTGTGAAATCTAAAGCACGTAAACTTCAGTTTTGATTTGATCAGGAATAGTGGAAACCGTGAGCACAATTTTGAGGTTTTAAAGGCCGGCATTGGAACTTTAGTCCCAGCTAAACAGCCAAATTCCCCAGTTAAATCCAGTGAGTTTTTGCACTGTATAGACTGTGGGGCATTGCTTAAGCGAAAGTCGCTGTGGAGGCATGTGGCCAGGTGCCGGCTTTCACAGAAAGATGCCCAGGCTAAACCAGGTAGAAGTAGGGTCCAGTCCCTCTGCTCCCTAGCCCAGCCTGTACCGGAGGGCATCAGCAAAAAGCTGTGGTCTTTAATTTCGGCAATGCATCAGGATGAGGTCACGGGTGTTGTCAAAGCAGAAAAGGGGATTCTGAGACTCGGAGAGCACCTGTACTTAAAACACGGGCATGATAAGACAAAGCATGATTACATTAGGCAGAAAATGAGAGAAGTCGGTAGGTTAATTAACGAAGCAAAAACCGCAGGGAAACTGAAAACAATTAAGGATTTCTTTTATTCCTTCCAACTTTACCCATGTGATTGATGCAGTCAGGTCTGTGGCTGGATATGATGAGGAAACAAATCAATACAAGACTCCATCCTTGGCCCTCAAACTCGGCCATAGCCTCAGAAAGCTAGCAGATATTCTTGAATGTGACTCAAAAATGGAGCATTGTGTTGATGAACTATTTATTAAAAACCTCCAACGAAGCCGGCTGCTTTTTGAGAAGAGGTGGGACGTCTGTGTTTCTTCTGCTGCCCTACAGACCCTCCGGCAAGCCAAGTGGAACACTCCGGACCTGCTCCCTCTGACTGAGGACGTTAGAGCCATGCATGCACATATTGAGGTATGTCGACCTGAATATGTGCAAACCCTAATAAGTGAGCCAACGTCTAAGCATTGGTCTAAACTGGCAGTTTTGACTCTTTGTGAGGTCATCATTTTCAATCGAAGAAGGGAAGGTGAGGTTTCAAAGATGCCACTGACAGCCTTTACCTTAAGAAGTAAGACTGGGATCCATTCTGACATTGCTCTGGGACTGTCCCAACTTGAGAAAAAGCTGTGTCAGCATTTTCAACGCATTGAAATTAAAGGGAAAAGAAGTCGGAAAGTGCCGGTTCTTTTGACTCCTGAAATGATTGCTTCGATGGAGGTGCTGGTGGAGAACAGAAGGGCCTGTTCCATCTCTGACCATAACCCATACTTCTTTTCCCCGGGCGCAGACACCCACATCAGGGGATCAGACTCCCTACGCCAGGTAGCCAAAGAATGTGGTGCGGTGCATCCAGAGATGCTATCCTCAACCAAACTTAGAAAGCACATAGCTACTATGTCTACAGTTCTCAATATGAAAGAGAATGAGATGGACATACTTGCCAACTTCCTCGGCCATGACATTCGCATCCACAGGCAATATTACAGACTACCAGAGGGGACACTGGAGCTGGCCAAATCAGCAAAGTGTTGATGGCCATGGAGCAGGGAAGAGTGACGGAATTCGAAGGAAAGAGCCTCGACCAGATACAAATTGAGCCTGAAGGTAATTCTTGATATTATTAAAATATGTATGATTTTTTTCCCCTAAAGGCCACTTGTATTTTTATTTTCTGTGCGACAGGGAGAGCAGTAGAGATCCTCTCACAAACGGACGGGCTAAAAGAAACTTCAAGCGGAGAACCTTCAACCATTCATCCAGATGCACCCCATGGTAGTGGCAGTGCCCCTTCTGGTAAGTGTACCAGGTGGGGGCTTACAGCCAGGCTGCTTGGTCCTCACCCTGGGAGTGTATATTGCTAATATATTTTTATTTCTCTCCCTAGAACGTGTAAGAAAGCCATGGTCTGCATCTGAGGTGAAGGCTGTGGAGAAGCCATGACACCTTTCATACAGACTGGAAAGGTCCCTGGGAAGTCTCACTGCCTGGCCTGCATTAATGCCTCACCAGATGACCTTAGACATCGGACATGGAGTGGCATTAAATTCTATGTCAAAAATAGAATCACTGCAATTCGAAAACAAAATCTAAAATAAAATTCCTTTAAAATAGTTGTTTGGTTTCTATTGACTGTTTTGTATTACTTAAAGTCTTGGTAAAAAAAGATTATGTCTATGGGTCCCATTCTGAACGGCCCTGTCAAAGGGACCCACCAGGTAACAAAAACGTGTATGTGTGTGTGTGTGTGTGTGTGTGTGTGTGTGTGTGTGTGTGTGTGTGTGTGTGTGTGTGTGTGTGTGTGTGTGTGTTGTGGTGTGTGTGTGTCTGTGTGTGTCTGTGTGTGTCTATGTGTGTGTGTGTGTGTGTGTCTGTCTGTGTGTGTCTGTGTGTGTCTGTGTGTGTGTCTGTGTGTGTGTGTGTCTGTGTGTGCCTGTGTGTGTGTGTGTGTGTCTGTGTGTGTGTGTGTCTGTGTGTATATGTGTGTGTGTGTCTGTGTGTGTGTCTGTGTGTGTGTGTGTGTCTGTGTGTATGTGTGTGTGTGTGTGTGTGTGTGTGTCTGTGTGTGTGTGTGTCTGTCTGTGTGTGTGTGTGTGTGTGTGTCTGTCTGTGTGTCTGTGTGTGTGTGTCTCTGTGTGTGTGTATCTCTGTGTCTGTGTGTTGTATATAATTAAATTAAGTGTGTATTGTAAATGACGTCTGCATCAGTTCCATCTTCTGTTTCCGTGACGACTTTATCTTTGTCCATCTGTTCAAATAAACACGATCAAAACCTTCAGTCCAGTTTATTACAGTCTCAGTCCTGGGTCTACAGCCTCAGTCCTGGGTCTACAGTCTCAGTCCTGGGTCTACAGTCTCAGTCCTGGGTCTACAGCCTCAGTCCTGGGTCTACAGTCTCAGTCCTGGGTCTACAGCCTCAGTCCTGGGTCTACAGCCTCAGTCCTGGGTCTACAGCCTCAGTCCTGGGTCTACAGCCTCAGTCCTGGGTCTACAGCCTCAGTCCTGGGTCTACAGCCTCAGTCCTGGGTCTACAGCCTCAGTCCTGGGTCTACAGTCTCAGTCCTGGGTCTACAGCCTCAGTCCTGGGGTCTACAGCCTCAGTCCTGGGTCTACAGTCTCAGTCCTGGGTCTACAGCCTCAGTCCTGGGTCTACAGCCTCAGTCCTGGATCTACAGCCTCAGTCCTGGGTCTACAGTCTCAGGCTTGCAGGTCTACAGTCTCAGTCCTGGGTCTACAGCCTCGGCCCTGGGTCTACAGCCTCAGTCCAGGATCTACAGCCTCAGTCCTGGGTCTACAGCCTCAGTCCAGGGTCTACAGCCTCAGTCCAGGATCTACAGCCTCAGTCCTGGGTCTACGGCCTCAGTCCTGGGTCTACAGCCTCAGTCCTGGGTCTACGGCCTCAGTCCTGGGTCTACAGCCTGGTGTCTGGTGTGTACCTCTGGTTTGTGTGTGTCTCTGGTGTGTACCTCTGGTTTGTGTTTGTCTCTGTGTGTATCTCTGGTTT